GGAAGTAGTTCCAAAGGCAGCGTGAGAAATGGATCATCTTTTTATAAACAGTATTTAGCCTTTAGTAGCTTTGTATCAATATAAGTCTATGTTATATGAAGGTTACATCCAAATATTAACACTTATTGTTCTCTTATAACAATTAAGTGATAAATAGTTATACAATGCACCTTATATTACTCTATTTGCATGAAACTATTTGTGTTGTTGCGAGAAAAGTAATTTTACTGTTTGGTTTAGCCTTACAGAGGGTTAATTGTTTTTCTTTGTTTGTTTGAATGATTTCTATACGTGAATACAATGACGTGTCGCAAAAGACGAGAGGTGTGGCTCTACGGAAAAAAATGTTAGCTACTGTGTATTTGATTCACGGCAAATTCCCAACAACGCCGCCACAAAAAAAAAAAAAAATGCAACATTTGGAAGAAGGGAGATTTCAGTGTTTTCCATAGAAGCTTGGAAAACGCAATGTGTTCCTAAACCAAACCACAAGCCAATTCGTAGCAGATCCCACATTTACAAAGTGAAAGCTATAGCCTGAAAACGAATCTCCTGACCAAGAAAGATATGCAACTGAGCATATCCCAGGAGAAGGTTTACAAGACAATAACAATGATTTGGAACAAGTGAAGTTTCACAAGTTAAAGTTCATAAACGTTCAGCCACATGTAGAAATCAATGGCTGAAATTACAGCAATGCCATTCAACTACATACCTGTGGAGTTGTTCATGCAACTCTAAATGAACTTTTAATTTGTATATTTGGTATGCTTAAACGTGGTTTTGAATTGAAAATCGAAGTTACGTACAATAGAGAGCTCATGGAAAATTCGTGATGATGTATGATCTAAGAATGACTTTGCCATACTTAATATGCAGAAGCCTGTTACCATGGAAACTGTTCTATCAGACAATTGCGTAATCACTGTTCTCAGAGTAAATGTTATCAAAGATGAAGGACCTAGAACCCCTGTCTTTAATCACTGCTCTCAGAGTGAATGCTATCAAAGATGAAGGATCTAGAACACCTGTCTTTAATCACTGCTCTCAGAGTGGATGTTATCAAAGATGAAGGACCTAGAACACTTGTCTTTAATCACTGCTCTCAGATTAAATGTTATCAAAGATGAAGGACCTAGAACACCTGTCTTTAATCACTGCTCTCAGAGTGGATGTTATCAAAGATGAAGGATCTAGAACACATGTCTTTAATCACTGCTCTCAGAGTAGATGTTATCAAAGATGAAGGATCTAGAACACCTGTCTTTAATCACTGCTCTCAGAGTAGATGTTATCAAAGATGAAGGATCTAGAACACCTGTCTTTAATCACTGCTCTCAGAGTGGATGTTATCAAAGATGAAGGACCTAGAACACCTGTCTTTAATCACTGCTCTCAGAGTGGATGTTATCAAAGATGAAGGACCTAGAACATCTGTCTTATTAAGTGAATGAAGTTTAGGGGTATCTTTCCTCTAAGAAATGTCACTATAAATAGAATTTATCATAGAATAATAAATTATGTTAAGAAATATTGTAATTAATGCTCAGTATTAGTCAAAGGTGTTATGTATACCTACAAGTAAAACACAGTTCGTTACTTGTTCATCATTATGAGTTGGATGGAGTTCATGATAGATTGATAATAAAGCTATTTTCATATCATTGCCGACAGAACTTTTCTTTCGTTCAATCGCAGACATCATATCACATTTGGTCGCGATGAATAAGTTGCTTTCAACCTTAATTATATTTAGGTATATTATATTGTAGCAAACAAATTATATGGTCTTACAAGTCTAGTTTGTTCTTTTACCGATTACATAGGGAAAAAGACAACAACATTAAAATCTTGGATCTTGACAAAACCAAAATCTGAGGGAAAATACTTGCAGCTGTTACGATAAGTTATACAACTTATGATATATATATATATGCTTACTTCTGCAATAAATATATTTTATTTATTCACAGTTTGAATTACTGTAGTGATTAAAATCAATATAGTTTAAAAATTTTAAGCTAAATATTTCTTGTCTTTTATATTCCACAATTAATATAGTTATTATAAACTGGCTAAATGATGTCCAAACGTGAAAACACGGGGAAGTTTGTTTGTTTGTTTGTTTTTAATTTCGCGCAAAGCTACACGAGGGCTATCTGCGCTAGCCGTCCCTAATTTCGCAGTGTAAGACTAGAGGGAAGGCAGCTACTCATCACCACCCACCGCCAACTCTTGGGCTACTCTTCTACAAACGAATACGGGGATTGACCGTTACATTATAACGCCCCCACGGCTGAAAGGGCGAGCATG